GACTCCAACTCAAAAAAAAAAAAAAAAAAATTATTGTAGAGACAAGGTCTTACCAAGTTGCCCAGGCTGGTCTTGAACCCCTGGGCTCAGGCAATCCTCTTGCCTCTGCCTCCCAAGGTGGTGGCATTACAGGCGTGAGCCACTGTGCCCAACTCACACTCGTATTGACGATCAAACTGAAATACACCTGCATAAGGTTAGTCATTAGGAATTTGACATCAGACAAACCTGGCTTTGAAACTTCCTGCCATTCCCTGATTATGTGGTCTTGGGCAAATGACTCTACCTCTCTCAATCCTATTTTCCCGCTTAAAGTATCCAGTGAGAATTCTTAATGTAATCCTAACACTTATACAGTGTTTATTTGGGCCAGGTATTGTTCTAATCACTTAATCAAGGTTAATTTAATTCACTTAACCTTTGTTTATGTAACCCATCTCTGATGACACTCATTTTGCAGTTTGGGATACTGAGGCTGAGTCATTTCACTAAGTGAAGTCGTTTGCTTGAGGTGATATGATTTGTGACTTCTTCGCGTGTCTTTAGGCCTCAGTTTCCGCCTTTGCAGACCCAGGACCTGATACCCCTTCAAGGAGATAGCACGGAGCAGTTGTCAGAATCCCTAGAGCGTGGGGTCTCGGTGGGTCCCTAAGCCCTCTTTACTGTGGAGGGCTTACCTTGGTTCCCTTTCCTGTTCCACAGAGAGCAACTCCCAGAGTCGGCCTGCATGCACCAGCTCTTGGGCCTGAACCTCCTCTTCCTGCTGTCCCAGAACCGAGTGGCTGAGTTCCACACAGAGTTGGAGCGGCTGCCTGCCAAGGACATCCAGACCAATGTTTACATCAAGCACCCTGTGTCTCTCGAGCAAGTGAGATGGGAATGGGCGCGCCTGGCTGGTGGGTGGTCAGGGGCAGACGTGAGGGAGGGTTTCCTGAAGGAGTAGCCAGGGTTCACCAGTCTCTCAACCTGTGGATTTATTTACTTGTTCATCCAGCAAACACTGGGTCCCAGCTGTGTGCCAGGTGGGTTTTCAGGCTGTGCAGTAAGTCAAAGAGACAAAATCTGCTTATCTTATGGTGATGATAGTCACGGGAGGAGCAGACAGTAAACCAAAAGAGTAACCTCTACAGTCTGTCAGATGTTAAGGGTGTGGAGAAGGTTAAAGCAGGTGGGTGGGTGGAGAGTTGGGGGCAGGGGTGGAATTTTATCTAGGGCGGTGAGGTAAGGCCACACTGCAAAGGTAGAATTTGAGAAATACTTGAAAAGGATGAAGAACCAGACCATGTGGACATCCGGGTACAGGGACCAGCCAGTCCAAGTGATCTGAGGCAGAAACATGCTTGTACTGTGTTTCTGGAACAAAGCGAGCAGGCCCAGGGAAAAGCCTTAGGACGTTGTTCCTGGAGCTGAGCTGGGGTCTCATAGGAGGGGCTGGCTGGTGGGGAGAGGGTGGGAGGGAGGGCGGTTACTGCAGGCAGCATAGTCAGGGTAGAGATGAGCCTGGGCTGGACCTTGCCTGGAGGCTAGAGGAGACAACTAGCTACCAGCCCAAGGCCGGCTTGAAGAGTGAGTAGATGTATGTATTTGTGTAAACCAGCAAGTGCTTCCTGAAAGAGGAGGGACCCGGTGGCCGGGTAGCAGTATGGCAAAGGGCGTTCTGGCAGAGCAGGGATGATGGGGCACTAAGAATACAGTGAGACCTGAGCAGGCAAGCCCCTGTGCTGCCTCCTCATCCTCTCCTTCCCCACTCCCGGCCCTGCAGTACCTGATGGAAGGCAGCTACAACAAGGTGTTCCTGGCCAAGGGTAACATCCCCGCCGAGAGCTATACCTTCTTCATCGATATCTTGCTTGACACTATCAGGTGCGTGGGGGACCAAGGCCCTGGGGGGTTTGGAAAGAGTCTGGACCTGAGTCAGCCAGCCCTGAGTTTGAATCCCATTCCAGCCACTTGTTATCTTGGCAGGTTGGACACGTTTCTGATCCTCCTAGCACCTCGGTTCCCCTTTTCAGTGAACTGGGACTGGTCATGAGATTATGGATAGCAGCCCTTATCTCACCCTGGGCTTTTTTTTTCCTTTAAACATGTTTTATTTTTGAGTTGGAGTCTTACTCTGTTGCCCAGGCTGGGCTACAGGGGCATGATCATGGTTTACTGTAGCCTCAACCTCCTAGGCTCAGATGATCCTTCCGCTGCAGCCTCCCAAGTACCTGGGGACCCAGACTCACACCACCACAATCAGCTAATTTTTTTACTTTTTGTAGAAGTAAAGTCTCACTGTGTTGCCCAGGCTGGTCTCGAACTCCTGGGCTCAAGCAGTCTCCCTGCCTTGGCCTCCCAAAGTGCTGAGATTAAAAGCGTGAGCCACTGCGCCTGGCTTGCCCTGGGCTTTTTATGTGTGTGACCATATGTGTCAAACCTGAGCATGGGTTTGGTACCTAGTCAGCACTCAGCAGACAGGGTCCATCTCATCCCAGATACTCTTCAGTCATGAGACCTTACCTCAGGTTGCCTAAACTGCAGAACCCTCTGTTTCCCCTTTAGAATGAGACCACCAAGTCCTGCCAGCCCCTTGGGTTGCTGTGTACACAAGTGATATCCCATGGGTGGGTGGATGTGACATACAAGTCCCTTGAGGAGTAAAAGAGTGTTGAAGTGGTGGCAGAACTGGTTCACTTGGGCAAAGCACCAGATTAAAATGAGCTTCCAGGCTGGGCTTGGTGGCTCAGCCTGTAATCCCAGCACTTTGGGAGGCCGAGGCAAGTGGATTGCCTGAGCCTGTGAGTTTGAGACCAACCCGGGCAACTTGGCAAGACCTCATCTCTACAATAAATCAAAAATTAGCCAGGCGTGGTGGCGCACGCCTGAAGTTCGGCTACTTGGAAGGCTGAGGCAGAAGGATGACCGGAGCCCAGCAGGTCGATGCTGAGGTGGCTGTGAGTGTGCCACTGCACTCCCGCCTGGGCAATGGAGTGAGACTCCAACTCAAAAAATAAAATAAATAAGTAAATAAATAAAATGGGTTTCCATTCCTTGGGTGGCAAAGGCAAGCCCAGAAATGAGAGTGAGGAGTGGTAGTGAGCACCCATGTATCTACCACTCGACTGAGGAGATACAGCATCTCAGAATCGGAGGCCCTTCTCCCTGTCACCAAGTTTTCCCAGAGCCAGCCCCTTCCCCCATTACAGTGACTCGAGGCCTTGCTTTTTCTCTACTTCAGTGTTGCTCATTGTGCCATTTATTTATTTATTTGTAGTCAGAATCCTACTCTGTTGCCCAGGCTGGAGGGTAGTGGCACACTCATGGCCACTGCAGCCTCAACCTACTGGACTCCGGCGATCCTTCCACCTCAGTTTTCCCAGTAGCCAGAATCACAGGTGTGCCACCACGCCTGGCTAACTTTTTGACATATTGTAGATACGAGGTCTCCCAAGTTGCCCAGGCTGGTCTTGAACCCCTGGGCTCACGCAGTCTTCTCGCCTCCACCTCCCAAAGTGCTGGGATGACAGGTGTGAGCCACCGTGCCTGGCCCATGGTGCCTTTGGATGGGTACAAGGATCCTCGACCCCAGGATCTATGAAGTGGGGGGCATCACCCTGGTGAGGAGGGTATTACATGAAGAGAGCCCTTGTGTGACTCCCACGCTGCGTTTCAGTCCGAAATCCTTGGGGCAGGGCGTGGGATTCAGAATTTGGACCAGATTGATCTAGGGGTGATCCCCTGTGGCCCTTGCTTGCTTTGCAACACTGATTAAGTTACTCCCCACCCTACCCTGCCCGAGACTTGATCAGTAGAATAGGGCACGTCACACATTCCAGCCATCAGTGCCGAACCGAAGGTCAAAGCTAAGACAGAGGCCTGAGAGATAGGGCCTGTGAAGTTGTCTGTGCTCAGTAATGAGAAGCTCATTCTCTTTCCCCAGGGATGAGATTGCTGGGTGCATTGAGAAGGCCTATGAGAAAATCCTTTTCACCGAGGCCACCCGGATCCTTTTCTTCAACACACCCAAAAAGATGACAGACTACGCCAAGAAGGTGGCTGGGGTGCAGGGCAAGGGGCCATGGGGCCAAAGGGTACACTCACAACAGTGTGGGGTGGCCTAGAGGGACACGGGAACAGGCTGCTCAGATCCCACTGTGTGACTTTAGGCAAAGTGCCGAACCTTGCTGAGCTTCAGCTTCTCCGTCTGTAGAATGGGCTGGAGTTTTAACACGAGGATGAGCTTAGTTAGCACAGTGCCTGGCACCCGGTGGAGATGGGTGCTCCACACGTGTTGGCTGCTGTCCTTAGCGAAGTCCTTAGAGGTGGCCACTTTTTGTGCAAGACTTTACTTCATTTGGTCTGGAGCATTTGAGCAGGAGCAGTGCTTCTGGTGATGCGTGGTGAACAGTGACCCTGGTGTCCCAGGGAGGAGGAGAGCCAAGCACAGTCCGTAGAAAAGGTGAAATTGCTGGGTTCGGTGGCTCAGCCTGTAATCCCACGCTTTGGGAGGCCAAGGTGAGTGGATTGCCTGAGCCCGCGGGTTCGAGACCCGCCCGGGCAACTTGGCGAGACCTCATCTCTACAATAAGTAAAAAAAATTCGCTGGGTGTGGTAGTGCACGCCTGTAGTTCCAGCTACTTGGAAGGTTGAGGTGGAAGGATCGCCGGAACCCAGCAGGTCAAGGCTGCGGTGACCGGGAGTGGCCACCGCACTCCAGTCTGGGCAACTGAGTGAGACTCCAACTCAAAAAATAAATAAATAAAAGGTGAAATTGAGTTTGAATGATGGGGACAGCTGATACTGTCACTTACTCTGGGCCACACAGTATTCTTGGTGCTTTAGAGGTGTTGATTCCCTGAGGGTCTCTATCTCAATGGAGAAACTGAGGCACAGAGGGGTGAAGCTACTTGCCAAGAGTTGTTAGGGTCAGTAGGATTGGTAAGGAAAGAGCACAGCACATGTGGGTAGGTGCTCGCTCCACGGGGTGGGGACACAGACTCTGTGACCACCCCACCCACCTCTGATTCCTCCCTTCTGCAGCGAGGGTGGGTCCTGGGCCCCAGCAACTACTACAGTTTTGCCAGCCAGCAACAGAAGCCAGAAGACACCACCATTCCCTCTACGGAACTGGCCAAACAGGTCATCGAGTATGCCCGGCAGCTGGAGATGATCGTCTGAGCCACCAGGCACTGGGGTGGGGCAGGGCATGCGTTATTTAAAACAGTCACAGTGCCGGGGTTCCTCCAATAAAGGTGGATTGCCATTGTCTCTTCCAGGCCTTGTCTCCCCCAGTTGGGATGGCGGGAGACAAGCTCTTATCTCTGAAGAACTTAGTCGTTTGGGGCCCTCAGGGGTTGGAGGTAACACCCCTCAGCTGTGTCAGTCTTTGTCCAGTGGCTGTTGCTCAGGGTCTCAACACAGATACCCACTGGAGGACCCAGGCCCCAGGTAGAGGGACTGTCCAGCCAGCTGTGGAATGTTGGGCCAAGGTACCAGACTTTTTTGATAAAGGGGTGAAGTGGCCTATTTTTTTTATGTTTTGGCAATGAATTAAACAACTTTTAAAATGACATGTGAAATTGAACCCATCTGTGGGCTGCCAGTCCGAGCCTTTGTGGAATGAAAAGTGCAGGCCCTGGTGGGGGCTTGCCCTGAATCCCATCCTTCCTGAGCCCCCCCCCCCCCCCGCGCGCGCCTCTATTTCCTGGCTTGAGCTTCTTGGGAAGGTGTTTCAAAGTGCCGAGTCCAAATCTGGCTGAGTCCTTAGTGGGACATGGCATTCTCAGAAAGTCTTCCAGTTTTTCCTACTGTGAAATGGGAGTGACTCCTCTTTTCCAGTGTGGTTTGTTCTGAATCTCTAAGTTTGGAACCAGTTAAGCTCAGAAATCATCCGGCCCTGGATTCATCAGTCAGGATGCTGGAGGCATCCAGTCTCCTTATTTCCAAGATGTGATGCGTTTATGGAGATCTCTACCCTGCCCCTCCAACCTCAGTGAGTCACTGACAAGCTGCTCGGCATCTGGACTGGCTATTTTATTGGCACGGAGGGGAAGGCAGAGGGCGCTGAGCAGACGCGTTCAGTTGGAATGGGGCGCCTGCAGGTCGTAGTGCTCCAGCCCAGCTACCAGGGAGGCGGCCAGCTTGATGGTGGCAACCCAGGGCGGCTCGCTCAGGTGGTTGGTGGGTGGACTCAGCCTAGGTGTAGGGCAGAATTCGCAGGGTTCGACGGTGTGTCCAGGCCTTCCACCCTTCTGGGACTTCCCTGTCCCCATCTGAATGAGGAGGGTTCCGAAGGCCATGGCCAGCTATCCCCAAGGCAATTGGGGGCGGGGCTGTATCCCCTCAATCTTGGGAAAGGAGGCAGGGGGTTGGTGACATGTCCCAGCTGAGCCCGGGCAGTTCAGGGTGATCTCCCAGAGGCTCTGTTCGCGAGAGCCAGGATCAGACCGCGAGGAGCTAGGCCAGGGCATGCCCTGTGCTCAGTAAAGGCGAGGCCTACGTTTACCCCCATTCGGCTCCAGGAAGACACTCATCTCCTCCCCACATCCCTGAAGAGCTTAGGACGTGGTCCCTCTTGGTCAGGGACAGGGTCAAGGCCGCCTATGGGGTGGGTCCGCTGGGGGCAGCTTCCCTCCCTGATGGCTCCAGAGAATAGCAGGAGAGCTAAGGGTCCACTTGGGAGTCTGGATGCCAGAGGCTGGGCAAAGGTGTCCCCTCTCCTTGAGGATCTAAGCTTCTCTTGGTCCTGAAGGATGAGAGCTCTGCCAGGTTGGAGACGTAGCCAAGAGGAAGGCCAGGGGCCAGTCGAGGGTCAGGACGCCAAAGGGCTGAGTAGGACTCTCCAGGAAAGTCTACGGCTCGGGATTCAGGGTGTGCCCCCCCTTCCCGACCTTCTCTCACCAGGCAGACACGTTGCGTGGCAGTCGGTGATGGCGCGTCTGGTGGCGGCAGTAACACTTGCAGGGACAAGAGTTAAGCACCTGGAAAGGCGGCCAGTGGCGCGCGGTGCCTGAGCCAGCCGCCCCCGCGGGAGAGGCCCCGCGGCCACTGCCGCTGTCAGGCGCGGGAGCTGTGGTTCGCTCGCGAGGACCCTCTCCGGGCAAGCCGTCCTCGTGGGCCACGCCCCGTGCCGCGCGGGGACCCTTGTTCCTGCGCGTGCGGGCCTTGGCGGGCGCAGGAG